CCTCGCATACGCTCGTTGAGAATTCTCGATTTTACGTGAACTTGGAGTCGATCGCGTCTCACGCGGACACCGAGTTGCGTCGCGTCGCGAGGCGAAATGTCAAAGTGCGTTTTACTCACGTGTGATCGAGTGGAGAAGTCATGGAACGCGAACGGGCTAGTTTGTTACAATGTTGCTAATGCGAGCCGGTTCCTACGCTAAGAGAATCACGGAAACGACTGCCCGGAAACTCGTCGCAATAAGCTACATGATCCCGGAAAGTCCAAATTCCAAACCAGCGTCCCGAATTGGCGAATCCGCCTCGGGCTCACGCTGCTCGTTGACTCATCCCCGTCAACTCTACGAGACGGAGACGGGGACAACTTCACGCGACGCAACAACTAGACTAGATCAGGGCCGTGAGCCATGAGGGAGCTGTCGGGGAGAGGGGAAATATTTGCACGTCGCGATCGAGAACATAGAAACGTGCGTCCATCAGCGCTCCAACAGGCTCTTACGGAGCCAATTAGGTTCGCTAGAGCATCGATGAGATGCTGTGATTCGTTCTTGACGTGACGTTTCTATAGCGTTCTATCCATCTCACTCGCATCTTTTTCGTTGGGGTTGCTGAGTACAATTGAGGAATGTGCTCAGCAACCCCTTGAATTTTTGGAACGCACGATAATGTTCAGAATGTTCGGATGCGTCTAAATTGGAAGCCATTTTTAATGAAATTTTTGCTGGAATTAAAAATTCAAATTCGCAAAATTCCTAAATAAATTAAGCGACGCGGATCGTCGTGATTCTGCGACTAAAACTAAAAGACATTCCGAAATTCTACGTATATCTATTTCAAATATATTTTGCAATATGATTCAGATGTGCGTTCTATTATTATTTCATATGACTAATAATGCAGCTTACTTATATGACTGCTTTAATTCTTTTTTGGAGAAACAGTCAACACAATTAAACGTCGTTCTATCCTTTTGATATTCATCTTTTGATAACAAAGATAGTTGATAACGACACTAGTGTCGATTGTAAGTGTTTGGAGAGATGCTATTTGCATTATTTTATCTTCATTGTTTATTAGACGTAAAACGGATGAAAGATAAAATGACGAACAATTAGCACTAATAACGTCTTTTCTCTCCGAATGCACCCTGTATGTCTTAAGTCCTGTTTCTACGGTGCTAGAACATATAATACTGGACGGAGCATGCGATGAAATCTCTTTGATTTTTTATCTTAACGGATCTAGGAAGAGTAAGGTAAATGTTTGGGCACGGAACTTTCTTTCTACTATTGATCGAATTATATGTTTCAGAAGAAGAAGAACAATAGTATATTCTTTAAAATCAGGAGCTATCACAGAAATATTAACTAATAAAGCGGGGAGCACAATCTTGGTAGAGATTACTTACGTAACGCATATCACGTATATATAATACGTCAGAAAAGATACCAATCCAAAGTTTTTCATTTCCTTCCTTTTCATGAAATAAAGAACTCTGATTAGTTGGATTTCTTATGTCTTATGTATGTGCATTGTGTAAAAATCTGTGCTTTCCGCTTATGGGTATATTCACATAACATGCATAGCCGCATAAACGTATGTATAAAGAAAATTATCCAATCGCATTTCTCCTATTATAGACGCACGTAAAATGTGATTAGATAATTTTCGTTATGCATACCTTTATGCGGCAATGCAAGTTTGTGTGAATATACCCTAAGGGCCATTCCACACAAACTTGCATAATCGCATAAACTATATGCATAAAAAAAATCATCCAATTTATTTTACGTTATTTATTAAACGTATTTTACATTTGCTTTTATAACAGAAATATAATTGGATAGTTTTCTTTATGCATATGGTTATGCGGCTAAGCAAGTTTGTGTGATAGCTTACGTTGCATGTGAAAGCAGCCTAATTAGCTGAGTCACACTGGATCCAACGCGCGTTGTACGACGTTCTGCAACCAATCAGAAAGCAGAATTTAATTTTCACCGAGGATTTAAACCAGGGTATCAATCAATAAAACTTTATCCCTAAGATAAAAAATGAAAAGTGAAAAATTTCTCCATTCAAGTTAAAATCTTCACTTTTTACTTTCCATCCTAAGAATAAAGTTTCATGATTAATACTTAAATTAGAATGTAAAAATCAACCAACTACAGTCGAACGACAAAGGAATGCTCGATTATAATTGATTGGTTCTTACATTCTGATCCGGATTAATTCTCCGATGGAAACTAGGTCATTGTGCGCAGCCCCTAAATTGCAGCTCTATAGAGATGCTTCATAAACTTCATAGTTTATGACAAACGAACATTTTGGCACGTTCAGCAACTAGCTGATGATAGATAACTACGATTAAAGTTTAAAAAACGTAAAAATTTAGTTGTGTCTAATTATAAGAATATATCCACACAACTTACATAGCCGCATAAACATATGCATATAGAAAATTACTCAATCGCAGTTTTTTTAAGTTACACATAAAATGTAATTGGATAATTTTCTTTATGCATACATTTATACAGCTATGCAAAGTGTGGAGTATACCTTTAATATTACGACAGCAAGTCCATGCATCATGCATTTAAGTAAAAGTATAATGTAGTTTCACAATACATTTAAATAGAATGGATGAAAAATGACCAATTATAAACCGGCAAGAAAGCCAGGGGGCTTATTACGGTTCTTAAAACAAGGTGGAAATTACAAAAATGATCGAATTTATTAGAATATTTCTAACTTCAACACCTAGTGAGTTTGCTCATTTTTCACTTCGTCTAAGGTTGGAATCAGACTACGCATTAAAGAATGAGATTGAAAATTGGAAGATTGAAGTTTGACCAATCAGAACAAAAGAAGCTAAAATTTCTTTGTCTTTATTAGTGAAATTTCAATCTTGAATTTTTAATCTCAATCTTTAATGCATAGTCTGATTTCGGCCTAAAGAACTGTAATAAGCCCCCAGACTCTGATTAGAGGGTCTCTACATTTATGAAGTGAGTCCCAAAATTGAACTTCAAACACATTAATACCCATTTTTACAAATGTAGATTAACTTTAAGAGCTACCTCAGACAAAATTTCTGTAACAGTAATCTTAAGACGTGAACTTAAGCCGATGAGCAATCAAAATGCTTTAGATCTACGTATTCTAACGAAAATAGAAATAGCAGTAAACTTATCCGTAAGGCAAATTTTAACCGGTTAAAATTCGCCTTATTGCAAGGTTATGGATAAGTTATTATTTCCATTTCCGTTAGATTACGTAGACCTAAAGCAACATCCTGGTTGGCTCATCATCTTAAATTTACGTCTTACGGTCACTGCGGAATTTCGTGTGCGGCAGCTTTTATCTCGATTCAACTTACTCTTTGTCTTTTTCTAGTTAAGATTTAAAAAAAACAAAGAATAAGTTGAATCGAGATTAATCGACGTTGGTGGAAATGGGCATAAATGTATTTTTTGAAGTTAAATTTTATTTAAAACCTGATTCACAGACAATCTGACCTAGAAGTTTTAAAAAAATTAAAATTTTGCGGAATATACCTATATAAAACATTTTCATATAACGGCGTATACAAATAAAATTTTTAACCGATATTTGAATGTTTCTTTTATATAGCTTAAATATTTGAAATATTTTGGAATATTTTTGGAATACTTTTTTGGGATTTTAAAAACATTTTATGAATATTTCAAGAATATTTAGCGTTTGCTGGATAACCACCACTTATTTTTAGCATCAAAACAGGTCATTTGATGAAAATCGATGCTTGGGATTTGTTAGTTTTGAGCTCATTAAAAATGAGCGTCAAGCGTTAGCCTAAAATTATATCTCCTTGAAACAAGATAAAAATGACCAAAGTGACCAAATTTACTAAAACAATTTACTATATTACAAAACGTTTCAATATAATATAGCAGACGTATAGAATATATTTTGAGTATAATTTTTCTCGGAGAACGTTTTAATATGTAGCCTAAATGTTAAACAATAACAGCGTTCGATAAGATGTTCATTTTGCAACTATATATTTGAAGTTTTCTTAGCTAATTCAAGACAAGACTACCTTTAGATCTAAAAGTATAAGGTGCGTTCGGCATTGCAAATTGGAGGCATCCATTTGCTCTTTTATCTCAAAAATCATTCTCGCATTTTTTTGTCTACGCTACATGTCTCATCTGCGTTCGATATTAACATTTATAGAGCTGCTCGATCCATTCCGGATTTGAAGCTCGCAAAGCTAACGATTTTAGTGCCTAAATTAAATTCATAACCTGTATATTTATGATAATGGGTACATTCCGATATTCACTGCTAGTACTAAAAATCTATAGCACACTTAACGTATACTATATAGTTTCAGCAGTGAATATCAGAACGCATCCAATGTATCCAACTGATTCGTTAGCACATATATTCATCTCTTTTGATACTTCTATTTTACAGTGTATTTGAACTGTTATAATATCTGAGTTTACACAAAAGCTGAAACAAATACTATCAAACAGAAATTGATGGAGTACATTATGTATGTACAATATATATATATATATATATATATATATATATATATAT